TGGTAGCAACGTAGTAAATTCTGTCTTTCTACCACACTACCGCCTACCTAATCACGCAGGCTTCTCCTCCTGGCATCCGTAGGTTGGAAACAATGTTCCAAGCAATCAACAGAAATTATAAGAACCAGCAAATTGCAATTTACAGCCCCACGTTGGATTGAGTTATATACGAGAAGATTTAAGTTAATTGCATTACACTTGCAAATGGTCTCTACTAGATTGTCCGCGGTCATTGCGAGCGCGACGCGGCTCCCCAATAAGTTTATTGAAAACGGCCGCAGCAACTCGACGCGTTGGCAGTCGGTTCTCTTGGAATCGTAAAACTCGCCGAGGAATGTTTCCGAGTTTAATCTTGACATTCATTAAACACCAGATAAGTATTGCGTTATTATGCCCGGTTGACGTTTTCTGGATTTTTGCGTGGCTAAATAGACGTCGCGGTATAATTATCGTTAATTAACGAATTCATGGGGTTACGAGGTACCTTTAATTGTACCTGTTTTTGTAATGATATTCGTTCTGAAATTTATTGAGGACTATATTAAGATGGACACGATCGTTCTGAAGCTTTTGCAACAGTATCGAGATGGAAATAAAATGCCGATTTCAGGCTACCGCAGCAACAGGACAGCGTTAAGACAAAGATACTTTGAACGCTTGTAATACTTGTCATATAACGTATTGGTTCGTGTGAATAAAAATAGAGCACTTGCAGAAAGCATGTGCTAAGTGAAGTATCTATTTCTAACAAAGCAAATGCTTTTAGTTTGGAGCACCTTCTTAACTTCCGGAAAGAAAACCCTCTACTTCTCAAACACCAATTAGTTTATGGTCTGGAATCTGGAACTGTGTGGAGGGTAGCTTAGAAGCTACAGCACTTAGGTCCCATTGGGCCCCTTGTACTTCCTCCCATTTGACTTTGATCAGGGGGATCTGTCTAATACAGGCCATAGAAGGCCAACGTTCTCCCAACACGGATTCTCTTGTTGACGAAACATGCAGTACTGTCTCGTCTTCCTGTTCACAACCACTAACAAAGAGGTGTTTTACACTTCATCGTGTAGTGAAGGTGTTTCCTTAGCCAATAGTGACCAGTTTGAATACCTGTCACCAGGCGAAAATTTAATCTAGACATGGCCAGATAGTTTTTGGCTGTATCCTTGCTAGGATACTCTAGGAACTTAGCAAATTGACAGCTATTTGTTTCATCCCACCGTTTCATAAACTCTTTGTGGGTGTTTTCTTTAATATTTCCAACAAGTGAAGACGGCGGAAGCACATTGGAGGGACTGGGTTCAAAAATATAGAGACCCGATGCACTCCTGGCTAGCTTGTCAGCTATATGGTATAAACGCTTTGTCTTTCTTGATTAAAACTCTTCCATTTAGAATGGTTTGCAGTTTAATTCACATTTCGAGAGACATATCGCTCACCTCGTCAGTAGATGCTCTGTAAACTAGAGTGAAGGAAAGAGGATATAGGCCAATATTCGACAAGTAGCAGTGGAAATCCAAAAAAATTTATATACATATTTTTATTTCGAATTTTTGCGTCGAAAAGTGTTAGTCTAATACCTCATTACCTTGGTATCCAAACAGTGCACTACTCCAATAAAATATCGTCTTCAGAGTTTAGGCAATCATAATTGGATAAATCTCCTTCAACATTTGAATAACTCAGTGAGGAATGATACTCAATTATCATTATCAGAGTAAAGGGTAATAATAATTAATTTTCGCATTGATCATTTGTGAAAATAACCTAATACTATGAGCTCTCCGTTGATCCATGGAATCTCAAACACATTAGATACTCATTTCGTTTGTGGTATTTTTTGTGAGAGAAGGTATATTTTTAGTAAGTATTTTTTGAAGTTCTATGTTTTCAATACCTACGTCTATCTTTAAATTCATACGATGTCATTTCTCATCGAAATCACCTTCTCCTTTGCTTCTCTCTTACTCGTTACATTATGCTTGCACATTTGGACTAATATAATAATTATTAAATATTTCAGGAATTTCAGCTCGAGCGTGGCATGTATTGTATTATTTTTAAAATCATCGCTTTAATAAAAACTCCATTAAGGGTGAAATCTTGATAATTAGAATACATTTTTTAAAAATATTCCACATGAATTACTCTTACTTCGATATATCATTCTGAATTTAAGAAAACTTTGTTGCATATAAATACATAATACTAATTTCTTGATTAATTAGTTCATTAGTTAACTAGAAAATAGTAACTGAATAAAAAACATTATTTATTACTGGGCCTTCCACTTTCATAATTTGTGTAAATTAGCAGTAATACCCAAACCATCCGACAAGTAGCAGGCAAATATAAGCGTGAGCAGGTTGAATTGTCGTTGGAATAATTTGAGAGAGCAGCGCCACTAGCTGAATATCGAAGTAAGAGAAGTAAGCTATCTACTTCGTTGCCTCCACTACTATTTGTGTGATTCAAAATTTGCCTCAAAGATGTCCAACGAAATTGCGCTTCACAGGGATCCATTTTATCATACAAAAAATTTTAAAAAATTCTATATTTGGAACTGAGATGAAACTGATGTACTGATTTGTTTGTACAGTAAATTTACTAAACGTATATTCATATGAAATTATTAAATATTATATTAGATATGACTGACGTACCACAGGTTAATATAAAGTTCTGTTATATATCTTTTAATGTTCCACTACAATTATAAATAGAGAATGTTTATTGTAAGTTTTCCTCTACGAATATTTTGAAGTCATTTCAAAATACGTGACTTTACTAATATTAAATTGAAGATCATAGGTCACAACAATAACAACCCTAAACAATGGAATAGTGGAAAACAGTGCCATGTAACTCTTTCCAAATCAAGCAACTTTCTTTAAATAAACATATTTCAGATTCTAGAACAGATCCAATCCGTTTATATTTTATTCGCCAGTTAATTCTACTAAAACAAGTACGCGCTTTGTTCACTATAAATTAGCCAGAACTATGAAAGGTATATTTGATTTCATCATTTGGCGGAACGCAGTCGACTAGATTTTTTATCACTATTACGAGCATTGCACCTGTCACTAGCATGCTAATTTGTAAAATTGTGTAACAATTGCAAAGAAAATAGTTTTACAAAAAATGTGCATTTTTATGTAATTTCAATCTTTTTATCTTTACATCCTGAGATATTATCGAATAATCTCTGTCGATTTTCTATAGAATTTGACAATGGCAGTGGGTATTGTAATACTATTTATTATGCTTTAAGTCTAAGTAAATGTGGAAATTTTAAGACTGTTATCATTATCACAACAATATAAATATTTTGTACCTTTTAAGTACTGATATCAACTTTTTTGACTTTCACTATTTGTTTAATGTGATAGTATTGATAGTAAATAGTCTATGTTCAATATTTATTTCAATAAAATTATCTTCTTAAGTTTGATAATCGTTAGATCCTTGGTCCAATGTATGTCCTCAGAGAAAATTTATGTCCTGCGCTAGTTTTTTACTATTTTAATATTTTGTTCAGATGCATTATTTTTATTGGAACCAATTGTACACTCACTATGACAAGATATAACTAGATCCAACAAGATAGAATTTGGTTTTAAACAATCATGTTAATAGAAGCAATAAAAAATTGTTAGTATTTTAACACTCAGTTAAATAGATATAGTAGAAGTAATATTAAGCAAATTACATTAGATGAAATGAATCCGCAAAGTGGATTCCTCTGTTAATTTAGATATTTGGAACCAGCGTAAGATCGATTAGTTCAAATAGGCAGGTACCAATAGAGTTTGATTATTGCAGGAATAGGTGATATGAATAAATTTATTTGTCTTCAATATTCACTGTATATGATTGAACGTATTTTAGATATACAAAGTAAATTAGCTTTTTTAGAAATTACATACAGAGGAGCCTGTCACAACATTTCAGTAGTAGCATCCTTAGATGAAAACAAATAGATTTAGTTCAATTATGTCCAAAAACTAAAAAGAAACTAAAGAGATATACAAAAGATTGGACTGAAAATGATCTATCTAAATCTGTTAAAGGATTTGCACTGTACCAAGTTTGAAGTTGATATCTTCGATGATTTTTGACATAATGATTAAAAACTGTGTTTCACTGAACGATTGTAGAACCATTTTAAGAATAAAATGTATCCCATTTTTTCTTATTCGTTTCCACAAGAAAAGTCAGTGTTTGCAACGTGGCCTGAGTAAAATATAGAACGTGAGAAAAAAAAGACAATTATTAAGGGCAGTGAGTTGCTTTACCAGCTGCCTAAGTCAATTGAAGGGCAACCAGATAACCTGTTGACTGATGAAATTAAAAAAAAAAGTACAATGCAATTTTCGAATTCTGCCCAGGGAAAAACTCAGTCAAGGCTGTCAAAACTGTAAGGACTGACAAAGCTGGTCTTGACTTAATTGTAGGTGCCTATTTAATTCAGTATCAATCGACGTTTCTGTTCCATTCAAAACAGAGTCTAAGGGTTTTTTTGTGGCAAGATTTTTTAAATGAAACTAAAAATAGATCGACCAGTACAGAGTATAATCATAGAAAAGGGGAAATTGAAGTATTTCTCATAAAATGAAAGTCGTCGCGTTAGTTTCACGTTACGGGTCAGCCGATACATGCGTACGAGCACGTAATGCCACCTCAACCGTCCAGTCAATTCGCAACGATTAGAAATAGTGCCGAGTTCGCTGGAAATGCAGTATTTGCAGATATGACTCATGTCACGTACCACGTCCTCGTATTACTTTCCGCCGGCGGCATTCTCGCCGATTTTCAACAAAATACGATTTTTGGCAGAGATACAGTCGTGGCAAGATATCAGCGTGCAATAAACGTTCCGAAATAACCGATAAAGCTATGCAAGTATACGAATTAATGGTGAAATGTTGCATTACAACGCGTACCGCGTGGAATTCCCATTTCCCCAAGCCAGGGAAGTGCCATGGGTCTACCCAAGCATGCGCGGGTAGACCTCGTTGTAAAATTTATATGGAGAAAAGGTCACCTTCACGCAGTCACAGTGGAAGCTTCGAGCTTTAAGACATAGTGTTTGTTATCTCTTCAGAGGTCTTGACCGGTAAGTGTGCTTTGACTTTAATTACACATCTTATCAAGTGAGCTGTGAAATTTTATTAATTGGCAGGACTCGCGGGTTATTGTCAACAACGTAAAATAATCTGTTTTTCTCATGTTTTTACTGTACACCGACAGTCCGCACCAATTAACAAGTTACGCTTTCGTGGTTTACAGGATTAACCACTTTTTTAACTATTTGTATTATAGTTACAACGTATTACCAAAATATACTGATTATTTTTATATGTATTCACCGAAAAATCCCGTGTGAATTTATTATTTAGGTATTTTGATATCTGTCCGAAAATTTATAGAAAACTAAATAAATTTCGTCTATCTTTCCATTATCTATGCATTCCTCAGTATATCTTGATATGAGAATGACGCGGTTGATGGATCTGTAACCAACAGCAACGGACATACAGGAAAGGACAGCAAAATAATATTAATATGTTAGAAAAGGACAGTAAGTTTGTTTAAAGGCTGGAAAAGTTTGTCTACAATGTCTACTGTATGTACCATTCTTCCCCTTAGAATCACGTCCTATTTATATAACGCTCCCTCAACATTGTCACAGATTCATCAGCAGTTAATCCCTGAAAATATACCTACTCGTAGTAACACTTTTCTACCACATGTAATACGTTTATGTATTTGTACGAAATAAGTTAGAGATGTCGAAAATCGAGATTTAGATGTACTGAAAAATGTTTCATGGTGACCTCCATTCGACCTTTCATGGCTGCATCTGATTTGGAACTCCACAGCTTGTATATATTTAAAACCGAGCTTACGCGTACTGAATTATTAAATATTCATGTTGACTTGAGTAAAACACAATTCAGGATAATTTTCTGAATGGTAAAATAACATTTACGAGAACCAAAATGGGCGGGAAAATGCGGTAGCTCCCTAAAATGGCAAACATAAACAAAAATCTACTTATGTTATCGAAAATGGTAAGTGCATATCGATAAATAAAATGATTTTATCTGACAGATAGTTTAGTTAATTAAGTAGGTATTATTGCATCTGTATCCGCTAGACGATGAATTTATCTGCGAATATTGTTTTTTTATTGAAATTAATGTCTCCGTATAGAAAAAACCTCAACACATTAAAAACAGTATGTGGGCGAATTGCTAGGTTTCGAGGATCAAGCATTTTAAAAATCAGTAAGTCTTAATATACTTATTCTTTATCATTCAAGTAATCAAAACCACTAATAAGTATTTATCGAAGAGAGAATATCTTTGTACTTAAATTATTAGTTAAAAAGATATACCGGGACCAAATTTATTAAGCGAGCTGGAAAAATGAATATATTTTTAGAAATTAACGAGGATAATAAATTTCACGAAAAAATTTGTCACGTATTTTTAGCTTTGACCTGCCCGTGTCCTTTCACTAAATTGGAACTCATTATAATCTCACATTTTCATCACATCTGCATAAGGACCACCCTTAATTTTTAAGTTAATTGCATAATTTTCATTGTATTCTTAAGGTATAAACATACGCGTGTATGTACCATTATCTAGCACAATGACAATTAAAGTAATAAATAATTCACTTGAATTATCTTCATATCGCAATGTTTAACCAGGGCTTATTGTTCTCCTTTAGAAAAACGCGTTTAAAATTTGAGCGAATAGCGTTTTTACCTAGATAAAAGTATTTAAGCTAAGTAAAGTCCATATTTATTTAAATTCACGTGATGTTAGGTTTTCCTCCATAAACTACAATAATTTTGGTTCGTATAGGTATATCTACTCAAACTTGTTAAATATAAATACAGAATTGAGGCTGAATACAGGATATTTTTGAAAAATATCACAAATTCATCGAAAGAGGTTTGTCGAAGATAAATCAAACTTGGGTTGGCAACTTAACCTAATAAATTTAAAATTCACTTCACAATTTTAGCTTTGTTTAGTTACCTATTGTATTATAGGTAGGTATACATATTCATTTTGCTTGTTAAAAGCTGATAATTACATATTATAAAGCGAAATGCGTTAAAATAATAAAACATTAGCTATTTATTATCTTCAAACATTCTTCCGCAAATTGTATTAGTGAAAAAAATAGCTGTCAACGAATTATTTTCCTTCATTGACCTTGTACAGTACATTGTAACCAATAACCAAAATTAATTTCATGTGGTGTGATGTAATAAGCTTATGATATAATACGTCTGTGATTTTTTTTTTAGTTCGTCAAATAGAGGTTTGTTTGAAACATTCCCAAAAAGTGTAATACTATAAAACCTACAAATTTAAAATGCTTTTATTTGCTCTAAGAAACTTGCTGTAATAATATTGGAATTTGCTCTTCATTTCTTCCTAAAACCCGTTTTATATGTACCAATTTTTGACCTAATCTTCATCGGAGAAACCGGCCAAATTTTGATAGAACAGTTTTAGTTAAATTTAACTGGTTTTAATTTATTGATCAATTTTAATGCCTTTAATATGTATTTAATAGTACGAATTTTGATCTTTGTTTTTACTCTAAATATTTAAAAAATAGTTCTTAGCTACATGTTATTGCAGTCTGGCATAAGTTAATTATTATAATTGAATGTTATCCCAAATTTGACTAATTTATTTGTAACACATAGGTAAAAAGTTGCTACGAATATAGGGAATTGAAACAATTTTTTCAAACCTTTACTTTGTCAACTATTGGTAAATGTAAGATAGGTTAAAGAAATCAAGTACGCACATGGATTATAGGTTTTATAATTTAAATTAAATTACTTTCTTGACAGAAATAGATATTTTTTGTGACGTAAATGTCAATAATATATTTACGTGTCTAAAAATATAACACATGAATTGGTGATACGTACTGATAAATATTTATTACAGTAAGTCTAGACCAATATACAGTAATTTCCTGTATCACTGAATCTCAAGCTGTTGCTTAAATAAAAATAAACGTTTGATAAAATGTAAAATATTTTCATTGACGATTTAAAATTGATACTCGTATAATCATTTACCAGATATTTAGAATTTTATTGTTTTTTCAAACAAACAAGTCCTATCTTTGTGTTGTACTTTAGCTGGATATTATTATCATTCAAATAGATATTCTACTTTAGTTTTTACAAAAAAAAAACAGTAATAAATAGAACCTCAATGTATTCTGATATATTGGAAATATGTTCTAGACACGAAGTTTTAAAATAATAATTACAAAATTTTTATTATCAATATTATCAGAGATACATTTCCTATTTTTAGATTATCTAAAGTTACAGCAAATAATGATAGGTACTTTTCTACGTATTCGTATAGGTTTTATTTAGTATATAAAATATCATTCATGTACATTTTTATTAAATCTCCTTCAAAAATGTCATAAACTTAATCTGAAATTACTCATATTTATTCAATTAGTCAATAGGGAGGGCTTAATGTTTACTAGAAAATAATTTAAAGATACGTCATACGGATAACGATTTACACAATGGAATTGAGGATATCAAATATCAAAGACAACCCTTGCAACTGGTGCAATATAGTTTTAGCAAACTAATGACTCTGTGCTCTTGAATATCGTTGGAAAATCGGGTATTATCTGCATTAAAAATGTGGGGCAGTTGTGCCCGATGCAACTTTGTGCATGGCAACGAATCTAGCGTATTTGATGTCATTGTTGCACATCTGTTTTATTGACTAGAAAATGTTTTTCTAGATTAAGAGAAATCTATGTTCTGTTCAGTGCATTAAATACTAATTTCTCATTTCATTTTTAATTTTTTTTAATTTTGTGTTTGAATACAAGGGAAGGCAATTAATATTTGTGCAACTACCAATCATTTATTTATTATTTGGAAGTTATTACGTATTTTACATATTTATTTTTATAAATTCCATAATTTAAGAGAAATATTAGTGAATATAGATAAAAAGTATTTCCGTTGTATTTGGTCATTATTCTCACTAGTGTGTGATGTGATTTACCGACAGGATACGATAGCGTTTCGAAATGTAGATAATAAGCAACCACTAAGGCACCATAATTTACGGATAAATTACATTACCAAAGATTAAAGCTGGCTCGTATTGTCTCAAGGCTCCGTCACGTTGACCTTAAATAATCGTGTCATTCAAGCGCATATGGAACAAGTTCATTGGTTCGTAAATGGCTTCGATTCGTATCCATGACGATTGCATCATGGGTTGGAAGGAAGAGACTTACACAAGACGACTATTGCACAATGCAGATGAAGAGAACATAAGTTGTGTTTCTCATAATTCTCTTTGGCCTACAGAAACTGCTGTAGAAATAGTAGCAGTTATGTATAATGAAAAAACAAATAGCATGGATATATTTTATTCTTCGTAACAAACTTGGAGGGACTATTGGAATTTCTTTATTAGTCATAGGATTTCTTAGCTTCGCGTATTGGTGCAGCTTCGCTTCAGGCCTTGAGCTGATTATCTCGATGTCTTGCTATTGATTGCAATATTTCTCCAGTTTTATCCATTCTTGTAGATCGTTTCCATTATTAATCTATTCTTTTTAGTGACAGCCCGTTCAAGTGGTTTGACCATCTAAATCTTTATTTTTTAATCATGTTACTAGATTAAGTTATTACTGACATTTGTCACAGCCACGTCAAATTCTAAAGCGGCCTTTTTTATTTTCCAGTTTCAACATACAAGATGAGTACCAAAGACCACCTCCTTACCGTTTTGTCAGAACCAGCTTCACAAGCTGGACATAAAGTAACTATTGTGGGAATTGGACAGGTGGGAATGGCATGCGCTTTCAGTATATTGTCCCAGGTGAGTACAAGTTCTACTGAATTTAAAATTTGCCGCCCAGAGAGTAATATGAACTAGGTACAATTAAAAATTCTTTTCATACTGATGTTTTGCCAAAAATTGTTTCTGAAACCCATATTTTTCTTTAAAGTGTAGTTCTGTTTAGTGGTAAAATATTTTGATATTTTATGCAGCTTTTTGATGATACAAGTAGATGTTTATTGGAGTTCAAAATTAAATTTTAAAATGTCTAAAGGGAAATGCAGTGTCTAAAAGTGTCAATTAAGAAATATCGACGATAAAAACAATGTTTCGGTTTATAAACCTATAGGTTGGTATATTTTTCAGAGTATTCACTTTTACTTTCTGTTTGGATGGCTACCAATTTTAATCAATTGGCATGGTACAGTTAGCTTAATGTCAATGACCTACAGTATACTATGTTGTCGCACCTATAAATAATTGAGTAAAAAAAGTTTGATATTTCATTTTGTGCGCACGAGTGTGTTTTATTAACGAAACAATTTATATTTTTATCCACTAACAGCAGCAGCATATCATCATACTGAAAATAGTAAACCCGTGTCGTAATATTTTCCGGGTACATAAAAAAATAAGTGTACTCTCTATATTTAATATTTTTATGGAAAAATAATGAACAGATATTACCTCGCTAAAGATTTACCTACATTTTCTTGGTGCTACACATTTTATTTAATATCACAGAAACGAAAATAAATTTGATGGATATTTTTAAACGCCAAGATCATCTCCAGACACTGTCAAGGGCGACACGTGGCCTCAACTTTAAAATGTAATTCGAACTATGGCCAAACGCAGAGACAGAGTTGAGAATATATCTTACAAATCAGGCTACCTATGCCTATATTTCAAAATATGCCGTTTCATTGAATATTTTGAAGTTTTCTTCACAAGTACTGATGACGGCTATCTGGGACTGCCATATATTAACATTATACAGGGCAGATCTGCAAATAATGCCATTTTTCTCAAGAATGGTTTTCTGTGGTCGATTTTCTCAAGAGACAATTTTTCTTTTAATTAAAGTGACGTCTTCAATGTTACTGCCCGTTTAAAAAAAATATGACCACTGTAAAAGTTTTGACCGCTAAAAGGGGAGGTATCTGGAGAAAATGATCACTCAATATTTGACTAAAGATTGAAGAAATAATACGCCACAATGGCCCAAATAAATATGCCAAATTTTATCACGATCGGTAAAAGAGTTATAAAGTTATTAATTAAATTAGTTTTATTTTTGACAACTTTGAAGGCCTGTAACTCAAAAACCAAAATTTTTTTATTTAACTCTTTCCTAGATCGTATTTATTTATCGTCCTGAATATGCAGTCAAACGTTGCCGGTGAAATTTTCGGACACCCTGTATATTAACTATACAGAGGGTGATTCAGAACTTACCCAAAAAATCTGAATGTATATGGGACTCTTACAAATACAATTTTGTAAAGAAAAAATCAAAAAGGGCAGTTCGAAAATGATTAAAAAATACACTTCTGCACATCACTGGGAACTGGTCCACTGTAAAACCTGACCTCAAACAATGCAACCAGCATGCGGTATGGCGGCAAATTGTGATAAAAACGGACAAAAACTTGAAAGAATTTCGCAAGGAAAGAATTTTTATATCATCAAATTCAGCTGCTGTTGCCGCTATTGTTATTAATAATTAATACAATTAATTTGTGGTAATAAATAATAATTTGGCATACCTGATGTTGCAACAACTGATCCAAATTTTGTCCACCGACATATAAACACATTCGGACCCGTCTTACCCAGTTTCCACGAACTATCACAAATGTTGTCTTATTTCACCATAATACAAATGTTGTCTTCACTATAAATTCAAACGATATCCATAAACTCCGGGTTGCTATACACGCAAGTCGTTTTTGACAGTAACTACTAAAAAACTATTGTAAACTCTGTCGCAACGACGATTGTAAAATCGGATTTCAGTACTCGGAGTCGCTGAGGCCACGTGGTTCTCCACGCTTATGCAAATGACGCTAGAGACTCCAGCGATGTAATGGTTGAAAGTACAACTTCAATAATTTTTCCTCGGAAACTATAAGGATTTTACAACTTTTTTTTTTCGATATTGACTCCATTTTTCATGCCGCATCTACTCCCAAATTTTTTTGGATAAGTTGTGAATCACTCTGCATATTATTAACTCTTATAAATGTTATATTATTAATTTTTAGGGAATATCTTCTGATGTAGTTCTTGTAGACGTAGTAGCAGACAAGTTGCAGGGTGAATTGATGGATCTCCAACATGGATCCTTATTCTTAAAAAATCCTCGAATTAATGCCAGTACAGGTAAACAGATGTTTTATTTGAATACGTACATAGCATATTCTTCCTATAACTTTCATTCTTTGTACACAGTTTTATATTCGTTTCAGATTACTCGGTAACTGCCGGTTCAAAACTATGTATAGTAACCGCTGGTGCTCGTCAACGCGAAGGTGAATCTCGACTGGACCTTGTTCAACGTAACACGGACATCTTCAAATTCGTCATCCCGAATTTGATCAAGTACTCTCCAGACACAATTTTGTTAATTGTGGCGAATCCTGTGGATATCCTGACGTATGTGGCATGGAAACTCAGCGGGTTGCCAGTCAACAGAGTGCTTGGATCTGGCACGAATTTGGACACATCCAGATTTAGATTTTTGCTCTCTCAGAAGTTGGGTGTTGCGCCTAGTAGCGTGCACGGATGGATTATCGGAGAACATGGTGACAGTAGTGGTAAGTTGACGTAAATTTTGTTTTTCCATCCTTACAAATACTGATACTGATCAGAAGACATCGGAAACTTCGGGATTATTCACCTGCACGCCGCTAGATACGTATCGAATAAATTGATCGATGCGAAGCTTCAGATCAGTGTTATTGTACAATATTATATTCGTTAAAGTCCATCAATATGTCATTCTTTATGTATGCATATTCTAACATTAAGTGAACCGAAAATAAAATTTAAGTTGTATATTTTTGTTTTAGTTCCAGTTTGGTCTGGAGTAAATATAGCCGGAGTCAACCTCCGTGACCTTAATCCTGCCCTGGGAACCGATTCTGATCCAGAAAACTGGAAAAAGATCCATCATGATGTCGTTAATGCTGCCTACGACATCATCAAACTGAAGGGTTATACTTCTTGGGCCATTGGCCTTAGTGTTGCATCCTTAACTCATACAATACTGCACAATTCAAACAATGTACACGCTGTATCAACTTATGTCAAGGTAAAGAATCAAGTTTCCTATTTTTTTAATTAAGAGATTTCAGTTTCTGTCATCACAGTAATCAAATGCAATTTACAGAACAAATATTTGTAATAAATTGTTAAATTGCCTATTTGATTATGAAAATGACAAAAGCCGAGGTTTTTCAAGCTTTTCTGTTGGTTTGTCTTAGATGCCTATAATTTTTTTGCTTGGTTGAGCTTATTAGGATTGTCTTGCTTTAGTAGTTTTCAAAAGCTTCACACAATCATTCATCTATACACACATACACTTCCATTTAATTTTCTAAATAAAGTATCATTAATCATTACTCAGAAATATAAATATTAGTAATCTTACCAAGTAGTGACTTGGTGGCATATTAAAATGTGCATACTTCCGAGTTTATTCCCGCTTTTTAGCACTTCATTTGAAGGTGAAAGAAAACGTTAGTTTACCGGAATGCAATAAATAGGACAAGTTTCTAGTTTCTCCAGACATAATTTGGACAAAAGGAAATTGTTGGTATTAGTACTTTATTTCAGTTAACAATTTTATAACACATACGTAATTTCAATGCATTCAATAAACTTAAAATATGCTTATTGCATGTTTGATCGCATTTCATTAACAGCACCTACAAAATATTGTCACTTAAGTTACCACCCTTAATTGTTATAATTAGAAAAGCGCATCGACGTAGTTCTGCCAAAGGATAAAGTAGAATTTTAGAATACAGAATAACCACATGAGTTATTATACTATAGGGCTCTCATGGATTAGAATACGAAGTATTTTTGTCGATGCCGGCAGTTTTGGGATCAAATGGTATAACGGGTATTGTCAAACAAGTGCTGTCTCCTTCAGAACGATGTGGTTTGAAATTCTCTGCTGCACTTATGAACGACGTTCAAAAAGACATTCAGTTTTGAAACACAAGAGTAATATTTTCAAACTATAGGCTGTGATAATATGTAATGTTTTATTAAAAGAATGACGAAACTGGAAAATTTATCGTTTTAATGAGTTCATTTTAGAATTAAGTTTCCTGCATTTTGCAGGATATAGGTATTTCGCATTGAAGACTTGTTAACTTTCAACAATCTTGGCTGTTACATATCACTGGTTAAATCTATGTGATCGTAATTCATTTTGACTACTAATTTTGTTGTCATCCGTCTTCCTTCTTCAAATACTTGACATTTTAGATAACCTGGTTGTCTATCTAAGAAGCACCAACCATACCTCTATTAGCATTACAATATACCAACAACATTGTAGAGGTGATTCTCTGTTCAGGAATAAGAAATAAAGTTCATATGAAAGTAGACAAATGCGCCCAAATATTTTAGAAAAAAATGTATTTTTGTCGTTTGTCCAAGAAATTGGCCATTTTTACGATGATCACATTTCAACAATCAACTGCATAATTCATTACAGGAAAATTTAAGTAGTAAGCTGTAATGTCAGCAGAAAATTTGACTATGGACCACCCTGAATATTTTCTTTGAAAGGTTACATCGTTTAATAATTTAGGTATGCCAAGTATGTATTTTTTCATTAATAATATTATTAATATTGATACCACCAAAAAGTTAATGGATAACATTGTCTTTTTTGAGAGGGATAGAAGAAATCAGACGCGCTAACGACTAGGGAGGTCGTGATTCCAAAAAAGAACCATCCTATAGATTATTTATCATATTTTAAACATTTTAAAACAAACTAAGGAGCCATACTTACACAAATATTTGTTTCTATAATACTTTGCATTTTTATTATTCTGATTTCAAATTTGTTTGATTTATCACGACAAAAAAATTGAGTGTGCAAAATTTAAATAATTTAAAAAACGTATATAAAAAAATAAGAAATCATGAATTTTTTCTTAATTTTGGCCAAAAGTTTCACCTGCAGAATTTTGTCGGTGGAATAATCAGTATCAGTTTCCTATTTCTTCTATTGCGAGTGTAATTATTTTTCGTATTGGATACTGACTATGATTTTGATAGACTCCATATTGTTCCTCAGGTCTTCTCACGAAATTGTTAGGTTATTTCATTATTTAGAAAAATATTTTAAAAACTTCTGTCATGCGAATTGCAAATTTTAGATTTAACCGTCCTCTCAAAGCAAAACATGTGGCAAATAATTTAAACGTATAGAAAATCTTTAATGATTATATCATTTTAATAAAGGCAGTAGTCATTTCGCCAGATGGTTCATTCTTAAATTTTCGTCAGCTTAATTATTTTTCCTATAAAGTAATATATAATGTTAGGTGCACTAATCAATTTATTACAAATACTTAGTTATTAGTAAACAATAAATAAAATACCTACCGACAATATGTAAGTATTAATGACGTTACCTAATTTTCAAACGAAAATATATGTGTAATGTAATAATGTTCACTTGATGTCAACCAAGTTAAAAAATTATCTAAGTGAGTGTTAAGAATGCAGGATTTCTATTTTAATCTTTAGGGTTTCCACGGAATCGATTCGGAGGTATTCTTATCACTACCAGCTGTTCTGGGAGCCAACGGAGTAACCGAAGTTGTTCAGCAGAAACTGACGGAACAAGAGAAGAAAGCCTTACAAAAATCGGCGTCGCTTATTAATGAAGTACAAACCGGACTGAAGTTTTAATAAATTTGTAGCTCTTTTTAAAATGCCGCTGAATTAGCAGGAATTTTTTAATTTATATTAGTTTTAATAAGCTGAAGACTGTCTGCACTAAAAATTCACTTAATGCATATCAATGATCAAAACCTTATCTCAATGTGTGCTAATGTATTAATGTAAATTCTTAATACTTTGAGATTTTATGAATTTGGTGTATTTTCTCGACTGGTTGGTCAGTATTATTAGACTTGACGTGCATTTTCCTAAATATTTAATCATTAAGGTATGAAAACTGTATTTTTATAAATCATTTCCTAAGCATTTATATTGATTTTTTTTAAATATTTATTCTTTGTCTTTTGTGTTTTTTTATACTTTATTCTACGTCTCGATATAAGCCTTTAAAATACAAATAATAAATATTATTTCTGTCAAAATTGTTTTTTTTATTTCCTGTGAGGTAAGTATACATACAGTTTACATTTGGGTGTGCCAGTTTTTTGTGCAGTTGGGTTTTCAATGATGTTTTGTGTTAATTGTGTATAATTTATGTGTACCAAACACTATTTTTATATACATAGATACCATTAAATACTGACGATATTCTTAAAATAACAAAATAAATAGAACACTGAAATATTTGAAAAAAATATATAGATAATTTGATTGACTCAAAATTTACTAGGGTTAAACAAAATCTGAGACAAGAATATTTACTACAATTCTTAAATTATCTGGAGGAAAAAGTTTTATAAATATTCAAGCTTCTGTATTTGTACCGCCTAAATTTATAGTATCGTAAAAAAACATGACACAAAAACAGAAAAAATAGAACTCAATGCAATTTTATGTGGATTATTGCATAAATTCAGAATATAAAAAGATATGAATATTTTTCCTTAGGTCCTATCTTCTGCTTCAGCAATGACGATTTATTTCAATCAAATTATTATTCTTCTTTGGTATCTTTGTCAAAACATCCTGTACAGTGTGTACAGTTGTATTATTTTCGTAATCACGTTTGTAAACAAATTTAAAAGGCAATTAATTTAGAGTAAAGCCGAAAGTGATATTTTGTACATTGATCTGGTAAGTTTTTAAAGAAGCCTGAGATTTGATGACCTACGATTACCTACATTATTTGGGATTTATATCTATTTTTTTTGCTTTTGAAAATAATATACGAGTAGGTATTTTACAAATTTTAAATATTATACATTTTATTACAGATATAATAGTTATATTAGTACTAAGTTGTCATCCTACATGTAAATAGCTGTGAGTAAATACCACAGATTTTTTTATCAAGCCTGAATTAAGTACAAGTAACTACTGCGATTGAAATATGTAAATGAAGCAGCAAACAAAATGGTATTTAACAAAGCCAATTGTAAATAAACTGTTAAGACGTCTTTTTCTTTAATACTCTTGAGATAAGACATATTTTTTCCTTTAATTAGTTTGCTAATTATATTTATGTAAATATTATATAAAATGATCAGTTTTTTCATCATTTAATTAAAAAATTTGAGTTGATAATTTTAGATAAAAAATGCCTCACTGTATGTCCAATATTAAAAGAATGTAATTATTTTAATATCTATAAAAGGATGTGGTATTGATGACGGTGTTTCCTTCATTTCTTGTTACCGATTGTCTTTGTTAATGAAATTTTTGAAGTTTATTTACCTTTCTCTCCTATTTTCCCATTTTATGATCTAAAAAGTTAATATTTAGTTAAATAACATCTTGCCTGAAGCAAAATATTTTTCAAGAAAACTTTTGAAATAAAATATTTAAGAAATTACATACAACCAATAGGTATAAATATTATTCATATAAAGCCATATGGCGAGCTGAGGATCAATTCTGACATTTTTGGGGAGTTTTTTATCTTCTCCTAGAAAACTAACTACTGGAATCTATAAAAAATTAAATAAAAATTTCGTTACAAACTTAAAAAAATACTAAGAAAAGGTTATTTTCTTAAGCGAGTTTAAAATATGTATGGAGATAAGGCTTTTGCTCAATTTTTTTCGAAAATAGAACACGTGTTTGTCTATCTCCTAGAAACGTGAGAAACACCCCATAAGCGAAATTAACCCATCCATACAGCGTTTGACGTACAAAGATAATTCATACTTTTTTAAAATACATCCATAAAACTTTTTCATACACATCACACACAAATCATTGCAAACATTCATAACTTTGCTGCAGGTGTCTGAACTAAAACAATTTTTATTATCATCCCTATCTACTTAGTTTGTAATGGCATATTGTTATCTTACCACCATCACTTTTTGTTTAGGGTATTCATGGAATTGAAGACGAAGTTTTCCTCTCTGTACCGGCCGCTCTGGGTGAATGTGGTGTTACTAAAATAGTTATACAACCATTGAATGAGAAAGAACATGATGCTTTAGTGAAGTCTGCAAAAATTATGGTGGAGACTCAAAAAGGCCTTAGTCTTTAAAAAATTTTAACAGCATTACTATATTAAAAAAAACGATTTTGGCTTTACAAGATTTTGAAGCCTCCATACTGCATTTGTTATAGAAATGTCAATAGCTGTCTAGAGTTTTTTTTGTCGTTATATTAATTGGTAAAGTTTCAAAGTAAATTAAAGAATGACTCAGGTAAACGGTAATAACGGTATTGTAGCAACCATATGTATTTTTTAGTATTATGAAATGAAAATTTACTGTGTTTTTGAGCTGTGTAGTCTAGTATTATGTTAAATTAACGCTTATTTTTATATTTTTATTAATTGGATAGTGGAAAAATTGTTTTTATGTATTTTTCTTAATATAAGTATAATTAAATATAAGCAAGTGAATAAAAGATTAAAACAAAACTAAAATGACTAATAGTTACTTTGTTGTCTTCTGTCTAGTGCTAATGAGTGTAAACAAAGCCATTTTCATATAGCATTTTCCTGATCAAGGTTTTGATTAAGATTTTATAAAACAAAATAGAACTGTTATAGATTTAGATGAATCAATGGCCAACTTGAAAAATATGTTTTTGCTATTTATGCAAATTTTAGGAAATTTGAACCAACCAGAATGGTAAAACATCGTTTTCTAATATTAAACTCAAAAAGTTAAAAAATAAGGACGGCAGTAAAGTAACAAAAAATTTAAAAATATAGAAACAAAAAAACCAAAACAATTATTTTGAGTATATTAAATTTACTTAAAACTAATAAAGCACATTTGTCATTATTGATATAGTATAAAATTGTTCAAATAATTATTTGAAATAAAACTCGTGAAAATTTTAAATTAATTGGAACATATAGGTTAGGGTGGTCTAAAAAAAGATATTTTTTCCGTGTCTCTTGTGAAAATATATTAGTTTATCATGTTTTAAGAGCCCCCTCAATAAATCAGCCCAAAAAATTTTTTTAAAGGTCGTTCAAGATTTTTTAAAATTACCAAAATCGTCAAAAATTGATTTTTTTTTAATTTTTTCAAACCGATATTTTAATTTCTAAAGGTCACTCATAATTATTTCATTTTTCAAAGTAGTGTACCTATGTTTTCGAGCCATCTCTAAAAAATAAATATCAACGAACTAATAATTTTTTTTACTGAATTTGATGAACAAAAGATTAGAAATAAATCACGACACAAATTTAAAAAAAATAAAAAATTATAAATATTTGATACTCACAGTGTGGTAGTAAATTTTGCCTCGAGAAATTTTTTAAGTCTCGTGATTTATTTCTATTCTTCTGTTCATCAAATTCAATAAAAAAAATTATTAGTTCGTTGATATTTATTTTTGGAGGTCGCTCGATAACATTTTAGGTATACTACTTTTAAAGTTAAAACAATTATGAGTGACCTTTAGAAATTAAAATATCGAATTGAAATTTTCAGAATCGAAATTTTTTTCAACCTAGAAAGACAAAATAAAGAGAAAAAAAATTTTAAAAAAAATATAATTTTTGACAATTTTGAAAATTTTTAAAAATCTTGAGCGACCTCTAAAAAATTTTTTTTTTTGAGTTGATTTTTTGAGGGGTCTCTTAAAACATGATAAACTAATATATTTTCGCAAGAGACACGAAAAAATAATCGTTTTTTTGGGCCACCCTAATGTAGGGAATAGGTACTTATTTTTTCTTCAACTGTCACAAAACTATAACATTTTTTTACTGTCAGAAGTCGCTAAGGTTGACGTTTTCTTTGCTGTGAAAAAAATGGTAACTTAACAACAAAAGTATTCACTTTTAATCCTAGGAGCTATAGTTATTCAATATTTACAATAATTTTTGTTTATCCACATATTAAATACATTGTTTGAACAAGTATTAAAATTAAATAAACCGCTGAAACTGCCACTACCCTCACTCTTGGAGCAATTCTCAAAGCAGTCCAACACGTTTTCATTAATTTTACATACTTTCAGTATTCTTTTTTCAATATTTTCTTTATCCAAAAGTGAGTATTCAATGTAGCCTTCCTACCACAGTACTCGATCTCCATCCTCCGTGTCTTTTCAGACAAGAGAGGTCACCACCGTCGTCAACTAAAAGGGTAGCAGACATTCGTTGTAATGCGTGTCGACTACACTCTTTCCAGTTGTTCAGCTTCAAAAATGTTGCCACATCTTGCGAGATGGCACTGATTTTATGAATACCGGCCACCAAGCGATGACAATTTCCACTAACATATCCGAGAAATAATAGACGTTCTACCAATCCATAAAACGTTGGTAGACACATTCATAAATTTCTCGAGATTTCTTTGGGAGAAGATTCAAAGAAACCTCTTTCGCACACTCCAGTGTCTCCTCAGGTACATCTAAATCTTCACTAGAATCTATTTTTACAGAACTTTTAGCAAATTGAACCACAAACAATCACAAATGAACTCAATTAGCAAAATGGAGACTAATGTTTGACAAAGTATCCATGACTACATCGATTTGTCCTACTTACCTATTTTTGTTTTATTATCCAAATTTGGTTTGAATAATTTCAAAGCACAATTAATAATTAAATGGGAGATTTCGGTTGGAGAAAAAATACCATGTTTTTTCGAATTGTGTTTTCTTTTTTGTCTCGCAATTTTGCTCGCCACAAATCCTAATATAACAATATACTATTTATACTTAGATATTGGTTTGTTGTTGTTTCTTATTGTTGCAAGCCTACTTTACAGTACTTAGTAATGCAAAGTACCTAGCAACCATAATATTTCTGTTTAATTATTTATTGACGTCAATCAATTATTATCCCAGTCATACGTAATGTCTCTGGATTTTAACTGACTACAATTACGAACTCAAATTCAGAAATAAGTGTTTCATCAAATTTCAACGTTTATAACTGATACACAGGGCGTTTATGTTATTAGTGCATAAAAAATATTCAAAATATCAAATTCAGCAGAAATTCAGCAAACATTGTGTTTCTTTCTTACAAAAGAAAAGCTTTTATATTCCGACTACCGAAAGATAACTGTACAGTACATTATAATTTGGCACTTATCGGTTTAAGAGCAGGACTTTTTTATTTTCTTAAACGATAGAAGACAAATTACAAAGAAGACAGGCCATTAGGTATGAATGTTATTGTTATCGGCAAAACTGTATATGTAACGGCCATATACGTGCACTTAAGGTTAACAACCATAACATTCTAGTTAGAGCCAATATTGAATTTTTAGAAGCATCGTGTTTGTACGTTGTGAGGTCAAGGATCTGCAGTTCTATATATTATTATGTAGTTTGTTTCAAAAGTTTCGTACCCCAAAAATTTCTATTCTCATTTAAATATGTGCCTAGATAAAAAGTACGGTTAGATTTAATTCGCTGTATACATATATGTATAAGCTATTAATACCCTGTTAACTTAATGCATTGTAATAATACTTTTGATGGTTGCTTGATAATATAATACGTCCTTTCTTCGATCTATAGACAGTATATGATAAAAGAATGACGCAACAAATGTAAGTAGGTACATTAAAATGCTTATATTTGAAAAGTTATTTCAATGTCCATAATATAATAATAATGTGCAATGTATTGGATAAACATGGTATTCCTATGTACTATGTTCAGAAAATAACCGAATTATATTCGTAATTCATCCTAGCAGCATTACCATTGTATCAAATTGTTTCCAAGTACAGGAAATAGAAAATAATGTCGATCTTTTTTGTTGTTTGGCTAACTTTATATAGTCATATCTGTCATATATATTTTGTTACCTTTTTATCTTGTTCTTTACATTTGTGTCATTTGTAAGTTTGTACTATTTTTTTTTATTTTTTTTTCCTATTTAAAAAAATTAAAAATATTTTTTGAAGTTTAACACACTTAAAATTGACCAAAGAATAGGAGGTTTAATTTTTGGTCACCTTTTATGAATCACCCTGTATATCGAGATATACAGTATAGATTTAACTAGAAATTTTATAAAAATTAAAAAACCGCAATAACAATCACATAAGAGGCAAAAATAAAATTGAAATATTTGTACGTTACAATCTACATAGGCATTGTCGAAACCAAGAGAGTTGCACGAACAAAATTTGGACTGAACATAGCTAATATAATGCGAAACATGGCTTTAATGTTAAAAATGCTGTCACCGCCGTTCTTGGTGGTGAAAATTGGAAATATTTGAATTTACTCAATTTTCGTGGCTGAAAACGTATATAATGGGGTGGCCCAAAAAAAAAAATATTTTTTTTTTCGTGTTTCTTGTGAAAATATGTTAGTTTATCATGTTTTAAGAGCCCCCTCTAAAAATCAGCTCAAAAAAAATTTTTTAGAGGTCGCTCAAGAGTTTTAAAAATTTCCAAAATCGTCAAAAATTGAATTTTTTTTAATTTTTTTCACGTTATTTTAACATTTTCTAGGTTGAAAAATATCTCGATTCTGAAAATTTCAAATCGATATTTTAATTTCTAAAGGTCACTCATATTTAATTATTTTAACTAAAATGTTTTCGAGCGACCTCTAAAAATAAATACCAACGAACTAATAACTTTTTTTTATTGAATTTGATGAATAGGAGAATAGAAATAAATCACGAGACACTTAAAAAATTTCTCGAGGCAAAATTTACTACTATTATCAAATATTTATAATTTTTTAATTTTTTAAAATTCGTGTCTCGTGATTTATTTCTATTCTTTTGTGCATCAAATTCAATTAAAAAAATTATTAGTTCGTTGATATTTATTTTTAGAGGTCGCTCGAAAACATTTTAGGTACACTACTTTTAAAGTTAAAATAATAATTATAAGTGACCTTTAGAAATTAAAATATCGACTTGAAATTTTCAGAATCGAGATTTTTTCAACCTAGAAAATGAGGAAAAAAGTTAAAAAAAAAATCAATTTTTGACGATTTTGGATTTTTAACTCTTGAGCGACCTCTAAATTTTTTTTTTGGCTGATTTTTTGAGGGGGCTCTTAAAACATGATACACTAACATATTTTCACAAGAGACACGAAAAATAATATTCGTTTTTTTTCGGCCACCCTACTATGTACGTTTTCAGCCTCGAAAATTGAGTAAATTCAAATATTTCGAATTTTCACCACCAAGAACGGCGGTGACAGCATTTTTAACATTAAGGCGATGTTTCGCATTGTATTAGCTATGTCCTGTCCAAAATTTGTTCGTGCAACTCTCTTGATTTCGACAATGCCTATGTATTAGGGTGGCCCAAAAAAAAAAACGAATATTTTTTTTTCGTGACTTGTGAAAATATTATGTATATTTTATTAATTTTTATTTTTCGCATTCCTGGATTTCTGGTATCGAAGACCTTTGTTTGATTTAATTTTGATAAATTTTTTAGAAAAAAAATATAATTTATTTGAATTAGCTAGCTAACATCTTCACAATAGACGCTGATAATATACAGGATGATTTCACTTTAAATACAGAAACTGCAGGAATAGATTAGTTGCCAAAAAATAAGTAGAGTTTGCCCTATAAACTTTTTTCCTGTGGTACGTGGTATTCGAGATACAGGGTGTTCAAGTTTCAAAAAATATATATATATATTTCGGTCATATCTTCATATTACGCCGAACGATTTGAATAAAATGGCACATCTACTGATTTATCGTAGTCACCCGGTACGTATTGTCCCCTTCAAAATGCACCCGTAACAATACGACAACTGTGACAAACAGCATTTAAATGAGTTTTTCTCTTCCCCACTATGCACTTCAGATACACACCTGTGATCACCTACGCCCGGTGATTGTCTAAACGCTGGTGGTACCCGCGAAGTCAGTCTTTGTGGTGCACTGGTACGCTGTCGGGCGCGCGTTGAGTCTCCGATGTTCTCCACAGCCAACTTCGCTTCTCTATGGTGTACGTGAAGTGAGTGAAACAGGGCTAGGCCCACTGTGATAACAATAACGCGATGACCGTTACCTACGGGGCGCAGGTTCCCAACGGGAGCACCTTTGGATGTTTCTGGAAGGTCCTAGGAATGTAAGTTTTTCTGTCAGAATCCTTTTACCACATAGAAAGTTGGGTTTCAAAGTCATGGCGATTCCAACGGCCCACACGAAGTGTTTCGATACCATCCCAATTTTTGACTAACGTAAACAGTGAAATCTATTTGGTCTTATTTTAGACGATGTGTAAATAGATGTTTCTTGATGGCGTTAAGACAATATTTCGACTGAAAAAGCATATGGGTCTGCTTCATTATCAATCCATACAAGTCACGACGGGGAAAGATATTTGGGAGCATGCCATAATAAGGATAAAAAAAATTAAAAGCTTGTATATCATAAAGAAAATATAAAAATTCTTTCCTTGGGAATTATAGTCCTTTATGGGCGAATACGAACATTAAGTGCTTAATATCTACTTGAGGTCTACTTTAAACAACAACAATTTTGGGATCTGGGGATATTTTTTCACTGGAGATCTGCTCCTGAAGAATGATATGTAGAATTCTATTTAAATAACTAACAGGCTAGTTTTGTTATGAAAAATTAGCAAAACAACCAATATAAATTAATTACTTTAGAATCCTTAGAATCAACAAACTACGAGGATAATATAGCTTAAAAAAAACTCCTGCATTCCTATTATCAGTTTCAGTATGCCTTCATGAAAGTACAATTATTCTATTCGGCGAGCTTCTGTGTTCAAAATTAATTCTGACATGAACTAGTAGTTATTACGAGATTCCTCGCGAGATTCACTATAACAATAAGGCCACTTGCATCACATCTCTGTGACCATTATCAAGGAATTAGAAGATAGCAATTTAATCAAATCAAACTCCAACTTTTATAATAACCGTGCAGTTATCTAGCAGATAGTCAAAACTTTTTCAATGGCTCACATAAAATATTGGATGTAATCTCAAATTATAGCAGAGATATTGAAAACTTTGGAACTCGTTTTGTCCAATTTTGTCCAGTTTTGAAAAATCTTTAATGTTAGATCTAGATGCATCTCTTGAATTTATACGATTTCCGTTCTAGGAGGCTTTAGAAATGCCTTAAAATAAAAAAATCAACCAATTACTTATTAGTAAAAACTTGTTAAATTTATAATTTTAAGATTGTATAAAAAATTATTACGCATTATAAATTTACCAAATACGAGTTACAAGGATTTTAAGTAATGGTGATTGCTGGGTAGCCAAAAATAAAAAAATTACCTAGTGGTTTTCCCCAAAAACCTCTTAAAAAATTGGCAGCAGGCTATGTATTGTCAACTGAATAATTGTAATTAGTTCTGCAGATCCATTTTAAATCAGGATATAAATTATTTCAACACATAGATGCAGATATAGTATAGGTATGTAATATTCTACCGACAAAATTTTACAAGTAATTCTGTCCAAAAATAAAAAAGTTTATTGGAACGTATGGCATATTACACGTTTTTTTTTTATTTAATTCATTCAAAACTATTTTCCGAAACTGGATAATAAATGAGATATACTTACATTTTCCCTCTTTAGAGAGGAACAGTAAATATCATGTTTTCTACGATATCCTAAAAGTCGTCCTTATTATAAACCTAGATATATGATTGTTATTATTTCCTCTTCACCCTACATACAGGGTGGGCCATTAGTGTGAGAAAGTAAAATAACTCCCTTGTTATTCATAATACAGAAAAAAGTTTTTATAAAAGTTGTACAGTATCAAAAAACCTAAAGGACAAAATTAATTTTTAAAACATACAGGGCGATGACTAAACATATGGATTTCTGAGAAAATTTTTTGGAAAAAAAATGACCTCGAAGAAGTTGTATTAACTTTCAACTACTAACACTTGGAGTAAAAATATTCGACAGAGTTATAGGCAAATTTTAGGCAAATACTACTATATTAGCTAATATCGATATTTTAAACAGGGCATTTTTTATAATACGATCATTTTAAGAAAGTCCATACTTGATTTTCTAAAATTTTGAAATGGAACACCCTGTATTTTATTATTCTATTTTATTCACATATCAGTTGACTTCAACTTTTATTAAGTATGTTCTACACCTAAAGCTGCTAATTTTTAAGATATAGCAACATTTCTGGAAAAAACAAATTTTTATTATTTTCGGTCGCACGAAATGGCTTTGGAAAAAACTGTCACATTGTGTCAATTTGTCAGTTCATAATTTATTTGTGGTATTCTATAAAATAATAAAAAATAAGTTTTTCAGAAATATCTTAAAAACCGTCAATTTTGGATATAGAACATACTTAATAAAAGTTGAAGTGGACCGATATGAATAAAATAGAACAATAAGATAAATTTTAGAAAATCAAATTTAAACTTTCTTAAAATGATCGTATTATAAAAAATGGCCTGTTTATAGGAGTATTTGCCTAACATTTGCCTATAACTATGTCAAATAGTTTTGCTTCAAGTGTTAGTAGCTGAAAGTTAATACAACTTCTTCGAGGTCATGTTTTTCCAAAATTCGAAGAATTTTCTACATAACTTGGCAACCCCGCACGAAAATAATAAACTGTTTATATTGCCATATATAGAATTTTCTCGGAAATCCATGTTTCAAAATATACAGGGTGTTCTATTTAAAAAATATAATATTTGGCGTGTCCCGTTTTTACTCATCGCCCTGTATGTTTCAAATTAATTTTCTAGTTTAGGTTTCCTGATTCTGTATAACTTTTATATAAACTTCTTTTCTGTATTATGAGTAACAAGGGAGTTATTTTACTTTCTCACACTAATGGCTCACCCTGTATATAATTCTTCAATAGAATATTTTTTTATTAAATTTGATGTACAACTGTGTTTCATGCAAAAATAATTTTTCACTTTCATAAAAAAATACTATATTATTAAATCGTGCCTTTTTGACGGAAAATACAGAGCAAAAGAGTACCCAGTGCGAAATATATAAATAGATATATTGTTTGTAATATGGAAAAAAAATCTATACAAAACGCGAATTTTGTTCCTACTGAGGAAAGTTACTTTGTCGAAAAAAATACGCTTAAAATGATTCCTGTTATTGATAAAATCAACCTTAATTTTAGACAAGGCAAAGAACAAGAATTTGAAATTGAATAGAGCCGCAGATTTGGCAATATTTGAATTACCGCAAAGTTTAAAAGAATGCAAAAGTGGTTTGACGACAATGCTCTTTCCAATAGATACAAAGTAGGCATTACAATGTACCAAAGAACTCAATACCTAGGTATATACCTTCCTATAATAAACATTTTGTTTACATTAAGCAATACCAATAAATGGTTTCAAAATTGATGCAATCTAATTTCATTATTCATTAAATTCTGACGACAATTAGGTAGTTTCTATTTTGCATCAAAAAAAAGGGAAACCATGACTAAGCAAGCTCTTGCTCATTGTTTTTCGTGCTTTGTATGTCATGGTGAACTTTTATTTTTAATGGAGTTTCTTTTACGTCAAGACGAACGTTCTCACATTTCGGTACAATTTTCAAACACTATTGGACAGTTATAAACAACATGCTTATTATCTTTACGAACTTACCTTGCAGTCGTTATTACCCATAAGTTGAATTACTCCAATGGTCGCTGGAAAAAAATGTAAGCGGATGTTTTCATATACATTCGGTTTTGAGTAAATAAATAAGGTCTCAACACTATCATTACACTTTAAAGTCACTAATAAGCATTAAGGATATCAAATTTGACCACAAAAACTACACAAAAGGCAAGGAACTGGATACAACAAACAACAGAACAACATAACACATCTTCGGAAGCCCTCAACTTTCAAGTACGTGAATCGCATGCGCATTGTGGTGTACAGTTTTGTTTTGTTTGGCGTTGTTCGAATTAGTAGTAGTCGAATACGAGTTTAATAAAATAACCTGAAAAGATGCATTGTTTTTATGTTCGAAACGGCTTTTCTTTCTTCTTTTCTGGCAAACATTTAAATTTTTTTGTGTCTAGTGGCGAAAATTAACGTGTAATAAGTACATACATATTTACTGTATGGTTTTATTATTTAATAATTGCACTTGCTCAACGGACCTCAGCAGCTTTAAATTTTTTTAATTTTTGTGTCGGATATATTTCTACGAGCTACGGTGTTGGTAAGTACACATATATTTATTTTATTAGATGTAAGTAAAATATGCTAAAAGTAGTATGTTTGCCATGACACATAAAACCCAAAGAAATAATGAGCAGGAGTACATTTAGTTATGGTTTATATTTTACTATTTTATGCAAATTAGAAACTGATGGTCACCGAAATATTAGTACATCGTGAAATTGCGACATTGCTCAGAGTTGGGAAATTCACAAAAAAATCCGTCAGAAAGGACATTGTTTTATTTATATGTATATAATATGTTTTGGATTTACTATATCTGCTTTAAAGAAAGAATAATCCAGATAAGAGTAGAGTCGAATATTGATACCAGAAAACTTCTTTTTTATTTCTTGTTAAAAATTGATCCTTATACATACACATATACCAATACTGGACTAATCGGCTAATTAGTTCCAGTTCTTTGGTTTTTTAAAACGGAAATAACAAGGCACTTTCTATAGTTTTAATGACTGAAGAAATCCTCTCCCATTAATTAGGTATATTTTTGCAATAATGAATTAAATTTCACTTTTCTTATAGTCGTTAAATATGATCGTGGCATATTAGGATTCATCCACTTCCTGATGCTAAATATAGACTACTGTAGCAATGGCGCTAACGATTATCGAAAGCAGTACAATAATTTTAATAGTATATTTATAGCACCTGTTATTTGAATGGCTAGTATTTCTTTTTTATTTTTATGTACATAGACGTATCTGCCGGTGAGAAATTTTAATATTAGGGTGTCAAAGGATTCAACTGTTTTAAATTTCCAAACGTAGCTCTCTTTGATTCCTAAAAAAACGGAAAAGAACAGGTATAAATATATTTTTTTAATTATTGCCATGCACTAGAATTGTCAAAAAACTCAAATTCAGTTGTTAGCTACTACACTGTGTTGTATT